GAGAGACTTGTTAATAATCTCCCGCAGGGCACCTCGAAACCCCTCGCGACCCATCTTAATGAGCCAAGAGGGGCACGGGTCAAGGTCACATGTGGTTGGGCGCACTACCGCAAGCAATCTGTCAACTTCTTCCAGGCTGAGTGGGCAGAAACTCACTAAACCGGGCTCCAAAGACGTGCAAGTGGCCTCAAGTTCACTTACTGTATCAATTGTAGCGGGGAGGTCATGGCGGAGCGCCAAGACTTTATCTGCAAAATAGCTTGCAAATGCCTCGCAGCCAATGTCCAATTCCCTTACATTTTGCCTGCCCTGTGGCAGAGTTGTCAATGACCGAATCGTACTAAATAATTGTGCCGGGCGTGAGCTAGCAGATGCAATCCTGGCCGCAAAGAACTCCCTCTTTGCGGCCTTGACTGCCATCTCATAGGCCTTCATAAACGTCCTATAAGATGCTCTGGACGCCTCGTCGCGAGCGCAGCGCCACCGTCTCTCTAGTCGTCTCAGTTCTCGCTTCAGCTGGCGCAACTCCTGGGTATACCAGGGTGCCTGCCTCATACGAGTCCGGAGAGGATGCCTGGGAGCAATCTCGTCAATGGCCGCGGAGAGCCAGTCGTGCCAGTCCTCCACTAGCTCATCCAACGAGCTGCCAGGGGGCTTCGGTTCCTGCAACGCCATCTGAAGTCTCATAGGGTCCATTTGGCCTCGCGGGGTCGGGGTGGCACATTCAGACGAGCCTTCAGGGCCTGGTGGTCCGACCATGGTACCGCTATTGCAGTAATCCGGTCCACCATTACCCCAGCAGCGAAGATCAGATCGAGCGTATGTCCGGCCCGATGCGTGGGGGGCATGATGACCTGAGAGAGTCCCTTTGCCGCCATGGATGACACCAGGTCCGTAGCCCGGCTGGAGGTCGCGTCCTCGGCATGGACGTTGAAATCCCCCACAACCAACAGCCGAGGGTGCTCTAGCGCCCAGCCTGATACGGCCTCCAGCAGGGACGGCAGGCTATTGGCCGGTGCGCTAGGCGGTTGGTACAGCACCCAAATTGCCAGACTCTCCTCAGCCTCCAGCATCACTCTGACACACTCAATGCCCGCGATCTCCACGGCCGGGAGCGCCCTGAAGGAGAAAGCCTCCCGAATGAAGATAGCCACTCCTCCCTCCCTCCCCTTCGTCCGTGATTGGTGAAGGACCGAGAAACCAGGTGGAGCAAGCTGGGCCAGGGCTACGGTTTTCCCCTCCCTGACCCAGGTCTCGGTCACGCATGCCAGGTCAGCTTGTTGGTCCATCACAAAGTCCCGAAGGACAGCAGCTTTGTTGTTAATCGACCTGGCATTGCACAACACCAATGATGGAGAGGGGTACTCCATCGCTGCCCCACTGCCAGTCACCCTTGGGATGGGTTTAATGCCAGTAGCTCACAAAGTAGGATTTGTGCTCACAGGACTCCACAGCTTAGAGGGAACATTGACTATAAGTCTCCCTTGAGAGGATGTGGCAGACAAAAACTGCCGTACAGATTTCCCTTCCTTAAAATGCTCATCGCCACAGAATTCACCTCCCTCAAGAGTGAGGACTCCCATCGTTCCAGAGGGGAGCTGTCCTCACCTGCAGCAGAGCAGCCAGCCTTGAATCCAGGAACACATTAGAGAACAAGAAGATGTTCTGGGCATGAGTTTTCAAGAGTCGAAGCTCTCTTCATCAGAAAGCTCATACCCCGAAGGCTTGTGGGTCTCTAAGATGCGGCTGGACTTGGCTCTAGCAGGACTCAGGTAATGAGACAAGCCTTCCTAAAAGATGCTGAGACCGGCAGCCTCAGACAAGGTTTCCCTCTGACCTCCTTCACAGGACGCTCTGAGCCAGCCCACGCATCACCCACCCAGTGCTCCCTCTAAGCTGTGGAGTCTTGTGAGCAAAACTCCTACTCTGAGAGCTACTGGCATGAAAGTTGTGAACAAGCGATGTGGCTACGGCATAAATGAGGTTGCTCTGGAGCCCTCCTTCCCAAGCTAAGACAAAAAGGTTTAAGCCAGTGGCTAAAAAATTGTGAGCTAGCTCACACTAACTCAGCTTAGAGGGAACACTGCACACAACTTTGTATACTGGCTACTGGCTGCTACCGTCATAAGAATACAAACAACTACTGGCACTTTACTATGATTTTATTATTTGTTTTAATTGCAACTTATGCTTTTAATGTAACTATCTGCTTTTATGTAAGCCGCCCTGAGTCGGCTCCGGCTGGGAGGGTGGGGTAAAAATTTGAAAAATAAATAAATGTGTCCAGCTCCATGAATGGCCCAAGGACCCGGAATTTTGTCCTTCAGTCTCATCTGCATCTGTGCTGGCAAGAAGGCAAGTTTATATCTTTGTAAGGAGAAAGGGCCCGGAGAAGTTCATTAGAAAAAGAAAAAACTAGTAAGGGGAAGACAGTTGTTGTGTATCAAGATAGACTGCACATGTGCTTGGGTTCGCACGTGGTCAGGCGAACAAGCGCAGCTTAAGGGTCTTAAACAATAGTGGGCCAGGATCCGAGAACTAGCCTATCGGCCGCCTCGAATCCTGTGCCCAGCCCATGAGGGATAGCCACCATGTAAATAGCCTATCATGGGAAGTGGGGTGTGTGTTGGGTGGGGTGTGTTTCACAGATTTACGCAGGGTCCTGGCCCCTGCAAGTTGTCTTGTGTTTTATCAAGTTCCAATAAACTATGAGCTGATCAATTCTACTTGTCCGAACCCAGTATATTACAACAGTGGACCATTCCGTCGCAAAGGCAGTTAAGGCAAGACAGGGATTCAGGGTACAGAATTCTGTCCAGCCCCTACAGTTGTAGAAAGGTGCAAATCCCAATACTGCCCTGGCCAGGGGCATCATCCAGTGACAGCTAAGGCACGTGACGGCATCCTTATACTGGGGTTCTCTTCCCAGGACGATTCGGGGCTGACTCACTTGACTGGCACCAGATCCCAGATCCAGGTCTCGGGAAAGTACGTCCTGGGTTTGGGCTTCTTTTTCTCCTTCTTTGCTTTGGAGTCGAGAGCCTGGGACCTTCGGTCAGCCCCGGCGACAGGTTGGGACTTTGCGAAGGCTGAGGGGAGGAGCAAACGACACGTCAGCCCACAAGAAGAGAGGTTTGCCCCGATGTGGCCGAGTGTCAGGAGGACATCATTAGGGCCATGCCAAGCCAGTGCCCCCCTTCCTGTTGACCCAAGGGACAGGAGGTCAGGTGGGGGGTCTCACTGGCCTGGCAGCAGGCTAAGCGGGACGGTCGGGTGCCTCTGCGGGAATCAGAAAGTCCCGAGGAGAAGAGTC